TTTTGTGTACAACATGCAACTGATTTTCATTTAATGAAGACAAACACCGACTTTGAGGCAACGATTATTTTATTATGATGGCTTGCTTTACGCGTCGTAATAAAGGTAGTTTACTTCACCCACGGTAGACTGTATACCTCTCTCTCTCTCTCTCTCTCTCTCTCTCTCTCTCTCTCTCTCTCTCTCTCTCTCTCTCTTCGTAATCTAAGACCGTCTCTCTAAACTTCTAATTATTACAAACGGTGCTGATATTTCTAATGAAACTACAAGGTAAGAGTTGTTCTAATAAATTAATAATTCAGTGTGTCGGGGGACAGGCAGCCAGAGTGTATTCCTACACGTTAGGCTTATATTGAGGTCCCGGCCTAAGGAACGAACGATCGCTGGTTGATCAGTCCAGCAACCAGGAGGCCTGGTCGACGACCGGGCCACGGGGATGCTAAGCCCCGGAAGCACCTCAAGGTAACCTCAAGGTAAGGAGTCATTGTTCTTGAGAACGGCACAGAACGTTTGTGCGGAGATTGGTATTAAAAAGGGCACCTCATTTGCTAACCCTAACCCGACGGCTGAGTGGACAGCGCTCGGGTTTCGTAGTCCTAAGGTTCAGGGTTCGATTCCCGGCGGAGGCGGAAACAAATAGGCAGAGTTTCTTTCAGCCTGATGCCCTTGTTCACCTGGCAGTAGATAGGTACCTGGGAGTTCGATAGGTGCTACGGGCTGCTTCCTGCGGGAGTGTAACAAAAAGGAGGCCTGGTCGAAGACCGGGCCGCGGGGACGCTAAGCCCCGAAATTATCTCAAGATAACCCCAAGAAGATAACCCTCTCATTGGAGGATAATGTATACATATACATATAGTGGTCAGCACCGTATAAGTGTATGGCTACATCTGTGGTAGAAAAAAATCTCCTTCTTCCCCTTCCTCAAAGTCTTCACTCCACCTCTTGACTATGTCACTCCCCTTTTCCTTCCTCTTAATTTAACTCCGCCTCTTTCTCCGTCCCGTCCCCGTCCTTCCTACTTATCTGGCCCCTCGTGCCCACCCACTTAGTCCTGCCTCCGTCCTCCACCCATTACCCCCATCTCTACACCACACACATTTACCTCTCATATTTCCTTTCATTTCTCAAGTAAATATCTGAAGAAAATAAATTTAATGAGGGATATTAATTGAATAGTGACGAAGCACAGGAGGGAGAGAGAGAGAGAGAGAGAGAGAGAGAGAGAGAGAGAGAGAGAGAGAGAGAGAGAGAGAGAGAGAGAGAGAGAGAGAGAGAGAGAGAGAGAGAGAGAGAGAGAGAGAGAGAGAGAGAAAGAGAACATTATAACAAGTAACTGGTTTACCTCTGTGTTAGGCAGCTCAACAGTGAACTACCAGGTCACTGCTATACTTTTGACATCACTGTAGATGTAGCGTGTGTCTGTCTGTCAAACTCACAAATTTGTGCCTGCAGGATCGAGCTCGAGCTCTTGGACGCTGATTTTCTTGCCGCCGGTTGTCTAATGCAATGACTTCTGGCCTATTTCCTTATAATATCTCCATTTAAAGTTATGAATGGTATTTGCCTCTACAACCTGCTCCTTTAGGTCATCCCATATTCTCACTGCCCTTACGCTAACATCTCTATGACTCATCTGAGTCTCAAACTTCCATACATACTCTAGTGTTCTATTGGTATTCATTGAGAACATTTCCTCATTTTCCACTCTGTCAATCCCCCCCTAAGTATTTTATATCTCCCATCTTTCTCCTCCTTTCTATCGTCGTCGGGTTTAGTTCCTTCAGTCTCTCTTCATACTTCATCCCTCACAATTTTGGGACAAGACTCGTTGCAAACTTCTGCACCTTTTCGGGCTTTCTTGTGTGTTTTGTCCAAGGTGGGGGCTCCATGATGGGGCGACGTTACCTTGAGGTTACCTTGAGGTGCTTCCGGGGCTTAGCGTCCCCGCGGCCCGGTCGTCGACCAGGCCTCCTGGTTGCTGGACTGATCAACCAGGCGATTAGACGCGGCTGCTCGCAGCCTGACGTATGAGTCACAGCCTGGTTGATCAGGACGTACTCTAAAACTTGCCTCGCATAAGACGTACACAGGGATCTGTAAGCCTCCTTATTTAGGCTCCTGAAGGATGTTCTGACTTTCACTAGTGTAGAGCGGCTGACGGTATCCTATTTTTGAGTCCTTGTGAGACTTTTTCTGTACTCGTTATGGGAAGATCGTTTCCCTTCATCGCTAAGAGGCCTTTCGATTTCTTCCCGCCAAACTCACACCGAAACTACGACGTTTTGTTCAACGTTCGAACAAGTTTTAACACCTAACCAGTTATAACAACCAATATAGCAAGTTGTAACAACGTTCTAATACGTCATAAACACGTTAAGCCAAGATGTAACAACTTTATTACAAGTTGTAACATGCGGAAAATAGAGACAATTTCGGTTTGTGTTTCCAGGGTTATCTCCCGTTCTTATTTCTACAACCTTACATTTGCTGATGTTGAACTCAGTGTATTCAGTCAGCAGCCAGTGTATTCACCTAGTTGCATTCACCTTGTTGTGCTTGCGAGGGTTGAGCTCTGCTCTTTCGGTCCGCCTCTCAACTGTCAATCAACTGTTACTAACTACTAACTATTCCCCCCCCCCCCACACACACACAATCCTGGAGTATGTGGCCCCAGCATGGAGCCCGTACCTTGTCAAGCACAAGACGAAGCTGGAAAAAGTTCAGAGGTATGCCACTAGACTAGTCCCAGAACTAAGAGGCATGAGTTACGAGGAAAGGCTTCGTGAAATACACCTCACGACACTGGAAGACAGAATAGTGAGGGGAGACATGATCACTACCTACAATATTCTCAGAGGAATTGACAGGGTAGATAAAGATAAACTGTTTAACAGGATGGTACGTGAACAAGGGGACACAGGTGGAAACTGAGTGCCCAAATGAACCACAAGGACGTTAGAAAGAACTTTTTCAGTGCCAGAGTAGTTAGTAAATAGAATGCATTAGGCAGTAATGTGGTGGAGACTCCATAGACAGTTTCAAATGCAGATATGATAGAGCCCAGTAGGCTCAGGAACCTGTACACCAGTTGATTGACAGCCGAGAGGCGGGACCAAAGAGCCACAGCTCAAACTCCCCGCTAGCACAACTAGGTGAGTACACATACACACCGGCCCGTTTCTTGTCGCTTGAAACGTCACTTATAAAAATAAAAATGTTGTAATATTTCAAATATTATGGGCGGAAGCCCACCTTAGCTACGACACCACGGTGGTGTCGCTCTTCCCTCCTCACTCACCCGTTATGGCTTCCTACCATATTTCTTACTCCTCTCCTCATTCTTCTCTTTATCCATCTTCTGTTCCTTACCGCCCTCACCTACCTCCTCCTCCTCCTCTTCTTCCTAACTGTCAACTTATGTTCCAGTGACCTTATGTATTCTCTGTCTTATATTCTATTCTCCAGTCTTCGACTATTTCTCCTTCTCTCTATCTCTACTTCTTCCTCCTCCTCCCCTTCCCCCTCCTCCTCATCTCTCATTCGCTACTCTACTGAAGTCGTTGTATCGACGTTGTTTGGTTGTTAGTGTTATCAGTTAACACCCGTAAGACAACTAGTCTTAACGTACACTGTCTCTAAGTGGTGCTTATGGTGGGGTGTAACGTGTGGCCACAACCATGACAGGTGTGGCCCCAACCATGACAGGTGTGGCCCCAACCATGACAGGTGTGGCCCCAACCATGACAGGTGTGGCCCCAACCATGACAGGTGTGGCCCCAACCATGACAGGTGTGGCCCCAACCATGACAGGTGTGGCCCCAACCATGACAGGTGTGGCCCCAACCATGACAGGTGTGGCCCCAACCATGACAGGTGTGGCCCCCAACCATGACAGGTGTGGCCCCAACCATGGCACAGTTTGGGCCCCAACCATGACAGGTGTTGCCCCAACCATGACAGTTGTGGCCCCCAACCATGACAGGTGTTGCCCCAACCATGACAGGTGTGGCCCCAACCATGACAGGTGTGGCCCCAACCATGACAGGTGTGGCCCCAACCCTGACAGGTGTGGCCCCCAACCATGACAGGTGTGGCCCCAACCATGACAGGTGTGGCCCCAACCATGACAGGTGTGGCCCCAACCATGACAGGTGTGGCCCCAACCATGACAGGTGTGGCCCCAACCATGACAGGTGTGGCCCCAACCATGACGGGTGTGGCCCCAACCATGACAGGTGTGGCCCCAACCATGACTGGTGTGGCCCCAACCATGACAGGTGTGGCCCCAACCATGACGGGTGTGGCCTCAACCATGACGGGTGTGACCCCAACCATGACGGGTGTGACCCCAACCATGACGGGTGTGGCCCAACTATGACTGGTGTGGCCCCAACCATGACAGGTGTGGCCCCAGACCATGACAGGTGTGGCCCCAACCATGACAGGTGTGGCCCCAACCCATGACAGGTGTGCCCCCAACCATGACGGGTGTGGCCCCAACCATGACAGGTGTGGCCCCAACCATGACTGTTGTGGCCCCAACCATGACCAGTGTGGCCCCAACTATGACTGGTGTGGCCCCAACCATGACAGGTGTGGCCCCAACCATGACAGGTGTGGCCCCAACCATGACAGGTGTGGCCCCAACCATGACAGGTGTGGCCTTGGCCCAACCATGGGACGGGTTGTGACCCCCAACCATGACAGGTGTGACCCCCAACCATGACGGTGTGGCCCCAACTATGTGACTGGTGTGGCCCCAACCATGACAGGTGTGGCCCCCACCATGACGGTGTGGTGGCCCCAACCATGACGGGTGTGGCCCCCAACCATGACGGGTGTGACCCCAACCATGACAGGTGTGACCCCAACCATGACGGGTGTGGCCTCAACCATGACGGGTGTGGCCCCAACCATGACGGGTGTGGCCCCAACCATGACAGGTGTGGCCCCAACCATGACGGGTGTGGCCCCAACCATGACGGGTGTGGCCCCCAACCATGACGGTTGTGACCCCAACCATGACGGGTGTGGCCCCAACCATCACAGGTGTGGCCCCAACCATGACGGGTGTGGCCCCAACCATGACTGGTATGGCCCCAACCATGACAGGTGTGGCCCCAACCATGACAGGTGTGGCCCCAACTATGACAGGTGTGGCCCCAACCATGACGGGTGTGGCCCCAACCATGACAGGTGTGGCCCCAACCATGACGGGTGTGGCCCCAACCATGACTTGTGTGGCCCCAACCATGACTTGTGTGGCCCCAACCATGACTGGTATGGCCCCAACCATGACAGGTGTGGCCCCAACCATGACAGGTGTGGCCCCAACCATGACAGGTGTGGCCCCAACCATGACGGGTGTGGCCCCAACCATGACGGGTGTGGCCCCAACCATGACCAGTGTGGCCCCAACCATGACCTGTGTGGCCCCAACCATGACCAGTGTGGCCCCCAACCATGACCAGTGTGGCCCCAACCATGACGGGTGTGGCCCCAACCATGACGGGTGTGGCCCCAACCATGACGGGTGTGGCCCGAACCATGACCAGTGTGGCCCCAACCATGACCGGTGTGGCCCCAACCATGACGGGTGTGGCCCCAACCATGACCAGTGTGGCCCCAACCATGACCAGTGTGGCCCCAACCATGACGGGTGTGGCCCCAACCATGACCAGTGTGGCCCCAACCATGACGGGTGTGGCCCCATGACCAGTGTGGCCCCAACCATGACCAGTGTGGCCCCAACCATGACCAGTGTGGCCCCAACCATGACCATTGTGGCCCCAACCATGACCAGTGTGGCCCCAACCATGACCAGTGTGGCCCCAACCATGACCATTGGTGGCCCCAACCATGACCAGTGTGGCCCCAACCATGACCAGTGTGGCCCCAACCATGACGGGTGTGGCCCCAACCATGACCGGTGTGGCCCCAACCATGACCAGTGTGGCCCCAACCATGACCAGTGTGGCCCCAACCATGACGGTGTGGGCCCCAACCATGACGGGTGTTGCCCCAACCATGACCAGTGTTGCCCCAACCATTACGGGTGTGGCCCCAACCATGACGGGTGTGGCCCCAACCATGACGGGTTGTGGCCCCAACCATGACGGGTGTGGCCCCCAACCAGGACCAGTTGTGGCCCCAACCATGACCAGTGTGGCCCCAACCATGACCAGTGTGGCCCCAACCATGACCAGTGTGGTCCCAACCATGACCAGTGTGGCCCCAACCATGACCAGTGTGGCCCCAACCATGACCAGTGTGGCCCCAACCATGACCAGTGTGGCCCCAACCATGACCAGTGTGGCCCCAACCATGACCAGTGTGGCCCCAACCATGACCAGTGTGGCCCCAACCATGACCAGTGTGGCCCCAACCATGACCAGTGTGGCCCCAACCATGACTGGTGTGGCCCCAACCATAACCAGTGTGGTCCCAACGATGACAGGTGTGGTCCCAACCATGACAGGTGTAGCCCCAACCATGAACAGTGTGGCCCCAACCACGACAGGTGTGGCCCCAACCACCATATCTGTGCTGTAACTCAAGGATAAGCTCCTCTTCCTCGTCTTCTGATAAAACAATATCATTCATAAATCTGAATGAAGCGATGAAAGACACAACAATTAAATAAGTAAAAAAAAAAAAATTAAGTACTGTTAGTCTTTCTGCTATTTTCGCCCTTTACAGGCATCCTTGACCATGGCCCTGTAGTACAGTGACTATACGATCCCAACATCGCGGATCCCCGGTTCGATCCCCGGGCGGGATGGAAATGGTGGGTTAAGTTTTCTTTTATTTCTGTTCACCTAGCAGTAAGGAAGTTACCTTGAGTTAAGCAACTGTTGTTGGGTTCGAATCCTGGTAAGGGGCCACTATTTTGACCTACGGGGGGGGGGGGTAACCTTGATACATATGTAATTAAACACAACAGCATTGTGACTATTGTCAATTTTTCTTATATATATATATATATATATATATATATATATATTATATATATATATATATATATATATATATATATATATATATATACATACATATATATTATATAGGCGTTACTATTATCCATGTACGCAGCACTGTACTTTTTAATTCTGATAGAAACGGCAAAATAAAGTTGGTTATATCAGTACCAGGGCGCGTCTCCTGCAGAGCCCATTTTCTATTATAACATTATTTTCCAACATATCGATAAGTCAAGCCTCACTTCAAAGAAAACGGACCCTCGAAGGTTGCCAAACGAACATTATATTTCACGAAGATTCTCCATCAAAAAATACGTCCGAACCACTTTCTCAGCCGCTCCAAGAATGAATTTGGTTTTTTTCGTAAATTTCTATAAAAGAATTGATTATCAACAAAAGCTCACGTCGAATTACTTTAAATTTAAATTCTGGTTCTCAATATATTAAGCTGAATAATGCTGGGATGCGCCCCCCCCCAGACGTAGGGGGGGGGCATCCCCCCTCCCCCATAGGTAGTGAGGAGGGGGGGGAGGGAACAGGTAGTAGGGTAGGGGGTAAAAAGGCAGATATATAGTGTTCATGGGTCGTAATAGAGTAGATACAGGTGGTATAAGGTGTTGGATCCTCCTCTATAGCAGTCGCTCTTTTAGATTCAGCTGCTGGGCATAAAAGTCGCGAGCAGGACCTATGGTGAGCCTTCCCCCCAAAAAAAAATTTCTTCTCAATCCCAAACTTAAAATGGTGTCTTAAGACCGATAAGACCGAAATGACATCAAGGAGGACTTTCAAGTTAGCGGACATTACAATATCCCCTCCAATCACAGATGACGAAGGAAAACGGATGACGATGTTGGAGCAAGAGGCGTAAGACACGTCTTCAACAGGGGCTCCAGGAGGGTCCTTCGGCGCCCGCACCGCAGGGGCCAGAGTCACGCGCGGCGGCTGCGGCTCCGGGCGCCGCGGTACAGCCTCGGGCAGTGACCATCACCACGTCTGAGCGCTGAAAAAGTTACTCTGTTGTTCTCTACGAGAGAGAGAGAGAGAGAGAGAGAGAGAGAGAGAGAGAGAGAGAGAGAGAGAGAGAGAGAGAGAGAGAGAGAGAGAGAGAGAGAGAGAGAGAGAGAGAAAGAGAGGAGAGAGAGAGAGAAAGAGAGGAGAGAGAGAGAGAAAGAGAGGAGAGAGAGAGAGAAAGAGAGGAGAGAGAGAGAGAGAAGAGGAGAGAGAGAGAGAATGAGAGAGAGAGAGAGAGAGAGAGAGAGAGAGAGAGAGAGAGAGAGAGAGAGGAGAGAGAGAGAGAGAGAGAGAGAGAGAGGAGAGAGAGAGAGGAGAGAGAGAGAGAGAGAGAGAGAGAGAGAGAGAGAGGGAGAGAGAGAGAGGAGAGAGAGAGAGGAGAGAGAGAAGAGAGAGGAGAGAGGAGAGAGAGAGACAGAGAGAGACAGAGAGACAGAGAGACAGAGAGAGAGAGAGAGAGAGAGAGAGAGAGAGAGAGAGAGAGAAGAGAGAGAGAGAGAGAGAGAGAGAGAAGGAGGAGGAGCGGCAATGATTGTGTGGAGTAGCAGCAAACTAAGGATAGTTGCAACAAAGAATAGTTTCCCTTCAGGCTATGATATGAACCAAGAGTGTCGGATAGATAACCATTGCAATAGATAACCAGCGACTGAAAGGCAAGTCCAGAAGTCCAAGCTCACCCTGCAAGCACAAACAGACAAAACAATCACCGATTATATAACAGTAATGGAAATGAAGCCTCATTTCTCACACCTCTTCGTAGATTCATCTCAATGATGTAGCAATTACCGGTAGAGCATCTTACCGGAGGTCATCTCCCGGTGCTGGAAGCTGCACACACTATATCTGCCGGATATCATGCGTGAGCCCACCTGCTTGGTGGGGTTCTGGGAGTTCTTCTACTCCCCCAAGCTCGGCCCCCTTTCCCCAAGCTTCATTTCAGACTCAAACGAATTCAGATTCAGTAATTGGCGGTAGAAAAGTAGTGTTCGGTGCTCCGGTTATCGAACCTGGTGTAATACCATCCGATCCAGATAGGGTATAATGTGACAGTTTAGCACTGTAGCACCAGCACATCCACCATCACGACCACCACCACCAACACACCACCACCACCACCAACACACCACCACCACCACCAACAGTACCAATAATACCGCCAACAGTCCCTAAATGACGTATATGACGGGCCTTAACACCACCACCACCACCACTAGCAAGTACCAACAACAACAGCCGGAGAGAACACGACCCAGCCGTGCAGTCTTTGGGGAGTGAAAACGCTGTCGTTGTGTGTGACTTGTAGTGTCAGCAGATATGTTAGCTGAGGGGGGGGGGGAGAGTGAGGCCTGTGGCTCCCCCTCTTGCTGTCTGTCCGTGTCCTCTCCCTGTCTCACTCCTCCCCCTCTTTCCCTGTCCCTGTCTGTCTGTGTCTGTCTCTTTCCCTTCCTCTTTCCCAAAGTCATCCAAAAAATGAGATTTTTTTCAGCATCCTCTCGAGTGATGGTCCTCGGCGGGCCCACTCTCCTCCCTATACTACTCATAGTCCCTTATATATATATATATATATATATATATATAGTATATATATATATATATATATATATATATATATATATATATATATATGCATGCATGCTATAAGAGCATGTCTGTCTGTCCAGAGTTCGAGGTCAGACGCTTGGGGCTAGCGTCACCCAAATCGGCAGACGGGAAGGTCTGGAATCCGGTGATAGACTTACAGTAGTTGTGGTAGGCCCAAGTTAAATGCTGTACGAAATATTATTTAATTCTAAATACCCCTTAAGCCAATTTCATGGCGTAGTGAGTGAAACATGGCGTGAGATTAACGTGGAGTTGTCACTGAAAACGAGAGATACATGGGGACTTTTATTACCACTGCTACCTTATTCAATCTTGTGTTGAAGATATCCTCAAAATACTTCTGGAGTCTGCCAGTGCAGACTGCCCATCACATGCCTCTGTATGACTAACCAGCCTGTGTGATGGGGATTTTTTTAGCACCACGTAGTTAGCTTTTTTGACACACTGTACTCCCCTTCATATAGTCTAGGGTAACTGCACTAATGCAGATGTAGCTAAATGTGCTAATAAAAAAAACTTAATGAAAAAAAAGCGTCTGGGACCCATACATTTGTTTCAGTGTGTTTTGAGAAGAGATGCAGGAGAGGTAGAAGGAACAAAGAGTTACGTAGATAGAGTGGTAGACAGAGCCAAGTGGAGATTGAGAGAGGGAGGTAACAAAGAGTCCCGGGCAACGCCGGTTACCCCCCTCCCCCTCCCGACGCTAAGAGATCCGTTTCATTGAGCCTTCTCAACATTATCAAAGGCAGAGCTCAAGTGGATATCTGTTTTTGAGCAGCCGTATATATAATGGTGGGTGAGGGGAAGAACCTTTTGGGCCAATAGGCTCATTGCCCCTTACCAATTCCCTATGCTGCCATGATGGCTGGGGCAGTATGTTGGCTGCTGCCATGATGGCTGGGGCAGTATGTTGGCTGCTGCCATGATGGCTGGGGCAGTATGTTGGCTGCTGCCATGATGGCTGGGGCAGTATGTTGGCTGCTGCCATGATGGCTGGGGCAGTAGGTTGGATGCTGCCATGATGGCTGGGGCAGTATGTTGGCTGCTGCCATGATGGCTGGGGCAGTATGTTGGCTGCTGCCATGATGGCTGGGGCAGTATGTTGGCTGCTGCCATGATGGCTGGGGCAGTATGTTGGCTGCTGCCATGATGGCTGGGGCAGTATGTTGGCTGCTGCCATGATGGCTGGGGCAGTATGGTGGCTGCTGCCATGATGGCTGGAGCAGTATGTTGGCTGCTGCCATGATGGCTGGGCCAGTATGTTGGCTGCTGCCATGATGGCTGGGGCAGTATGTTGGATGCTGCCATGATGGCTGGAGCAGTATGTTGGCTGCTGCCATGATGGCTGGGGGCTGTTGGCTGTTGCCATGATGGCTGGGGCAGTATGTTGGATACTGCCATGATGGCTGAGGCAGTATGTTGGATGCTGCCATGATGGTTGGGGCAGTATGTTGGATGGTGCCATGATGGCTGGGGCAGTATGTTGGATGCTGCCATGATGGCTGGAGCAGTATGTTGGCTGC